CCCCAAAACCCCAAAACCCCAAAACCCCAAAACCCCAGTATCTGGAGATAATGTTGAACAAACAGCATTTTAATTCTTCTCTAAATCAGAGTCTTCTTCTTTGGCCTGTTCTTCTTGATTCTTTTCTCTCAAGAAATCATTCCACATTTGGTAATACTTAGAGTCTGGGTTACTGAGCATTTCATAATGGGTTCCTTCTTCTTGAACTTCTCCTTCACCCATTACAATAATGTTATCGCAGTTCATGATAGAACTAAGCCTATGTGCACAGTAAATGACAGTCTTTCCTTCAAGTTCTCTCTCCAGCTCTTCAATAATATTTTTCTCATTCCGAGAATCCAAACTACTTGTAGCTTCGTCTAACAAGAGAATGTCAAAGTCTTTGAGAAGAGCCCTGGCAATAAGGATTCTTTGTCTCTCACCTCCTGATAGTTTTCCTCCAAGGTCACCGACATGAGAATCATAACCGTCTGGCATCGACATGATTCTATCGTGGATGTTGCATTGTTTGCATACTCTCTCAATATCTTCCTGGTTCGCTTCTAAATTTCCGTATTGTAAGTTAAATCTAATTGTATCGTTGAACAAGATTCCATTTTGAGGAACAATGGAGATCCTATCTCTGAAGCTCTTGATTTTAAGATCTTTTAGATCTTGTCCATCCAAGAGAATGCTTCCGCTGGAAGGGTCCATGATTCTGTAAATCATGTTGAAGATAGTAGTCTTTCCAAATCCACTTGGACCAACAATAGCATTAGATTTTCCACCTTTCAGTTTAAAATTGATATCTTTAAATAAAGTCTCCAGTACTTCTTTGCCGTCTGATGTTTCATCTTTTACGTAGCTGTAACGAACATCCTTGAATTCAATATCTCCTTTTTTGTATTCATAGTCCTTAGCATCTGGTTTCTCTTTCACTGCCTTCTGCATTTTAAGAATGAGGAATAGATCCTCCACATTTACTTGACTCTCGTCCAGATTTCTAAAAATGGTTCCCATAAAGTGGAGTGGTTGAGCAATTTGCATGAACAAGGCTTGAATCATCACAAAGTCTCCAGGAGTCAGCACTCCTGCATAGATATCCTTAGTTGCTAAAAGGAGGTTTATTGTCATACCCAAAGCGAAGAGAGTTTGTTGTCCTGAGTTGAGGTTGGCTAAAGAATACTGAACTTTCATTGCCACCTTATAGATTTCTTCCTGAACTTTCTTATACCTATTGTACTCCAAATTCTCGTTACCAAAGTATTTAACAGTGTCATAGCTAAGGATACTTTCATTGAGGAAGAAATCTGCTTTCTTGTCTTGATTCCTTCTTCCTCTAATATATTCTTGCCTAATCTTTGAATATGATTGTGTGAACTTGGTGTAAACTCCAAGCATAACTCCAATATTTAACAGATAGAGAGGCCCACAATAAAAATAAAGCATACCACAAATTAAACTGAATTCAAGAGCGATAGGGCTAACAAATCCAATCAAGAATCTTAGCCCATCATCAATAGCTGACAAAGCCTTATTCATTGCAAAGATCGTATTCTTTGTAGAAGTTTTGTGGAATGTTAAATCGAGGTTATGCAAATGAGAGAATATCTGGAGAGATAACTTCTGGATTGCCTCCCTCATGATCCTCACAACAAGGGACATCCTGAGTTCATGGAAGATTGATGAAAAAGCTCGACATAATCCAAATCCCATAACTCCTGCAAATGCTAAGTTATAAGAATTAGGAGTTGTCAGAGCATTAACTGCTATCTTTAAGCAATACGGTGCTCCTAAAGCTAATCCTTTTGAGAGGGCCATACTTGCCATTGCAAGGTAAAACACTTTCCAGTTCCCATCAGCATACAAATAAGGCTTAATAAAGTTCCATATTTCCTTCTTAGATGTCTTTCCTTTTCCTTTGTCTTGTAGGGCCTTGTGGCTTGTCATTGATTCCTTGATTAATTCTTTTTCTTTCTTAGCTTTCGCATCTAATTTTTCTTCATCAGTGGTAGTTGCCCTCTTATCTGCTTGGAACTGTCTCACTGTATAGTTATTCAATGATAAGTTGCTCCTGAGAGCACCAGAAGAATTAAAATAGCTCCCATGTCCTCCTTTGATACAAGATAAAGCTCTTTTTGTGGAAATTTGGATTTTTCTTAAATTTCCATACTTAAGCGAGTGAAACATTTTAATTTATTTTTCAGAACTAACCTCTTGGGGTTTTGGGGTTTTGGGGTTTTGGGGTTTTGGGG